CTCTTTCCCAATGGGATTGACAAGCTCAGAGTCCAAAGTGAATTTGAAACAGCAGAGATTTTTGTCTCCTTTCTGATAACCTGAGGTTGAGTGGGCATAAAGTCTGCGGAACATAGAGCAATGCAGAATTTCACCCTAAGGCCTGACTCTACCGCTGTTCCTGGTATTAAATGCAAGGCTAAAACGTGCACTTAGATGTATGCCGAGGGCCCTGCTCAAATGGAGCAAAGGCCAGAATTTATTTCCCTTGACTTTGGCTACGTAAGAGGAAGGCCCCCAGACCTTGCAGTCTCCTAGGCTCTTTCTGGAAATAGCGAAACCTTCCAAGGAACATTCATCCCACGCTAAGGGTGGGGTAGATAAATGGCCCTTGGGATGTTCCTCTCTCTTCCCACTGAAGTGGGAGCTTAAATCATTGGCTAGCACTTCATATCTAGCTAGTTAGTTAGATAGCTAGTAGTTAGATGCTACCTAAAATTTTATGTAGTAAGGAAACATCAGGCCATATTCTGACCACTTACTGTGTGCGGCTGATTCAAACATCGTGATGGATGCTCTCCATTGAGAAGCAGCAATCCTGCAGCTGTGGATAGCGGGCAGTTGATCCGGAATCGCTGAGATGCTTAGAGTAGGTGGTCTGAGTATGGCTCTTACTGATGTTGCTTGGGCTGAATTTGGTTTCCATTGAAGTCAAGGGCTAAATTCCCACGGAATTCAAGGCGACATGGTCTTAAGTGCACAGTTTCTTAGCACGCAAAGCTTACGGCCAAAAATAAGTGGGATAATGATTTTACATGTTTCTCCTTATGTACACTGAGATCGGTGTGTTGGGCTATGGGCTAACTGTCTACGTGCCTTTCTGACATCTTCTACCTGCTGTGACACGTCATCTTCTCGGCTGTTGCTATATCCTGAGATAAGAAAGGACATTATTGAGGAGTGTGAGGATGGATGAAGCATCTAAATTCCAAGAAATTACACAGCCTTGGAAGCTCAGATCTCTCTGGACGGTTACCCTTTGAGCCACGGGGCGGGAAGAGCTGTGAATGGCATTTCTCTTCGCGAGTTCAACGCAAGCCTTTCGCTGAGCTACTCTGGAGACAGAGCTGAGCTTTGCACTCAAGCAGTGCTGCAGGGGCTTCTGAGCACTCAGAAAAGCAATGGTCATTATGGACAGGTCAGCATCTCCATGGAGCATGCACATCAAAAACGCATTACATTCGCAAAGATTTCCACAGTTTTACTTCCTGGAGGATTTCCCTGGTTTCCTCCTAAACATCGGAGGCTTAAATATATATATTTCTATATATGAATATATATTTTCCACATACACAACCTGACTAGCTCATAGCACACAGTTCTAACACAGCTAAGCTTGGAAATACACCACTGAATTCAGAACACTACACTTACTTATACTCAAAGCTTTAGGCTGTTAGCGCAAGGCAAACAGGACACATTACACAATACACTGAACTTGGCATTTATTCATTACTAAGGCCAGCAAATGTCACTATCTGTATACCACAGAGCTTTCCTCATCTTTGGAAACTTTCTCTCAGTCTTATAGCTTGTCACTCATTTGTGTTTCCAAGAGACCCAATTATAATGGAGTGAGATTCCAAAAATGGGGCTCTTCACCCTCCCAGCTCATCCCTTTCCTATTACATAGTTTCACATCTCTAAAATATCCTAGCAGCAAGACTTTCTCCATTCAATCATCTCTACAGTAACACAGTTCTGAAACTCTCCTCTTACACCACGTCCCTACCCTACTTCCCATCTCTCTTTTGTTCTTCCCAATTGTCTGTTCTCCGAAAGTATCAAGCTGGACTGCATGTTGGGATAGAAATATTGAGCTGCAAAAATAAAGAAGGACCCTGCATCCAGACAATTAACACAGGAGAGTTTAACAGCTTGGTTTGGTCAGACCAGGACTAATCCTGACATTCAGGCCCAGATCCAGCAGCTGGGCACCAAATTTTGGGTTGGGATCATAACTCTCCCAGCTCCCACTGCATCAATGAGACAAATTCTGAAGAGCGCATGCCAGCCCGGCCCATCAGCTCATGGAAATCTGCCTGATCCCATCACGTATGGGTGTTGGGCCAGTTAGTATTTGCTGACAAATGATTCCTCTCCTTTTACAGCCTTCAAATACAGCCTCCCAACTGATCTAGGAGGCTGGGCATAGGAACTTCCTAGAGTAAAAGCACAGTACATAGAGTTGAAACCCTGACATCTTGCCTGAACGGGAGTCTGGGGATCCCAACAACTGGTTTACGGCCCCGTTTTAGCACATTTATGAGCCAATATGAACTCCAAAACATTGGAATCAAAACAGCTGGGGCTCACAGCTCTAGCTAACCCTGGTGGCTCATCAACTTCTACCCCTTGGAAGGCCGCACCTGCAAACCGAACATCGTTCTGAAATATAGCTCGTTTCACACACTTGTCTACTGGCACCCCAGAAGTGAAGAAAAAAGACCAAGATTCAAAATAAATCAGGAGTAATTAAAAAGATGAATAACCTAGGGGAAACAATAGGGAAGAACAGGCTGCAGATAACCTAGTCTGACCTGCTGCATGCTTGGGAAGTCTCCGTGACTTCCCTCGCTCCTTCTTTTTTTGGAATCAAGGTTCCAAAAAACCTTGAGTGATGCTGATGGGTGAAGCTGCCCTGATGTGAATAGAGCTACCCCAGCTACCCTCGTAGAGGATTTGGCCCGACATCTTTATTTACATGGGATCTCATTCCATGTCCCTTCCTGGAGCAAAACTCCCACTGGTGTTAACAGGAGAAAGTTTGCTCTCGGTCACACCATTGATGCAAGTGGAGTTATGGCACACCAACGGCGCTGTGAATTAACCTCTGATCCTTTCCGCCTCCGAAGCCTTTCCCTTGGCCTGCTGACACCAGTGGGAGGTTATCGAAAATGGTGACCCCCAAAAGGGCCTCGTGGAATGAGAGCACAGCCCATCCCTGGCATCCTTGGATCGACAGGCAATTCCACGCCGTCAAAGCACTGGAAGATCAACCCCGAGGAAAGGGATGAGCTGTTTAACATTCACAGTGCACAGTTAAATCCAAAACCTTTGTATCCTACGACCTCTTCTGTGCATTCCCACATCCTTCCTGCGATCCCCCTCACTCTGTGTAGAGCTGTGTTGTGCAGGCAAAGCAGAATAACCTGACCTCAGAAAAAAGGATTCCCTAATCCTCCTTGGAAATAAAACAGAAAAGCTTCTAATCCAATCAGAACAAAAAGCAGATTAGAAGCCTCTAATTAATTTTGTGGCCTTTATTTAATCAAAATAAAAAAAAGGAAAGAAAGAAAGAAAGAAAAAGGGAAAAAAGAGAAAGAAAGGAAAGTGCAGTGACATTTACTCTTTTGCCTCAGCCAGTTTATTGTTCATCTCTTTACTTTTCTCCTTCTCCTCTGGCTTTGCTGTGTTGGAGGTCTCGGCGCTCTTTTTCTTGGCAGCCCGGCCAGATGCAATCTGCTTGTCTTTGGCCTTTTTCAGGGGTTTATGGCTTGTTGTGGTCTTTTTTGGTTTAGAAGGCTTTACGCTAGGCTTTTCCACCTGCATGGAGGGTGACATGCAAAACACCAACAGAGAGAGAGAGAGAGAGAGAGAGAGAGAGAGAGAGGGAGAGAAAGGGAGAGAGACACACACAAGGACAGGTGGAAAACAGGATTTAGATCAGAAACATCATTCAAGAGCCAGTGAATGTTACTTCTTTACTTAGCTGTAGTCTGCCATGAAGGGAAGGGAGCGGAGGGGCGCATGCTGAGTTGCAAATGGCCAACTCCTTCACAGTGGTGATGGACACAGCGCCCCTGAAGCCAACAGAGCCATGGTCATGTACATTAGCTGAGACTGCAACCTAAGGCACGCTCTTAGTAAGAAGCTGGCCTCTGACTCACAGTTATATGGGCTTAATAAAGTAGCATTAATTGTTCTGGTCCTAATATCTCCGAATGCAGTTTCGGGACTGGGATACAATCGGGTAAATAGCATTTTATCAGTTCCTCCATCTTTCTCTGCTTTCAGGAGGGGCTTTGCAAACCCAAGAAGGATTGTCTCTCTCTGGATTCAAAGCTGAGAAATGATGCTCAGGACCAAGAGGCTGGCACAAATCCACCTCCTTCTTGCAGGACATGACTCCTCAGCCTGCCCTTCCCTAACAGTTGGCTACAATGGAGAAAAATTACTTGGGGACAGCTGGGGCCCAGGATGCCAAGTGGCACTTGAGGAAAGTTCAGAACAGTGTCTTGCATCCAGCTGTTTCTGTAGCCCCAAAAGTAGGGAGGACTACTTCGAAATTTAGATGGAACAGAAGCCTTCAGCTCCTCTCTGCTGGCCCTCCCATCCCTCTGAGACTTGACAAATCTAAGCAGTTACAAACTCTGGGAAAGAAGAAGGTCCTACGTTCAAAAACTGCACAGACTGGCTCCATTTAGATGCAGATCCTCAGCTCTTCCTAGAAGACAAGGCTAGAAGAGATTTCAGTCCAGGCCATTCTTGACACATGTCCGTCTCATCAAAGCCAAAAGAACTTACTGCCGAAACCTGTAGAGCTCTCTGAATTAACTGCACATGAAGATATGGTTCTTACCATGTTGTTCCTGGCATAAAGTGTAATGGTGTGGGGTGTCTATAGCTTTGGAGTTGGAAAGAGATAGCAGTCTAGAAAAATGACCTGGGAAATGACAACACAAAAACCTCTTAATCTGGGCCCTACCCTCACCTGTTGACAGTTTGATGCAGAGCAGTATAGACTCCAAAGTACATCAACTTGTACTAGAGTCCATCTCTGATGTAGATCCCTAGATGCACCCACTGGTTGGAAATGAAGATGGCATGTAAGGGAAATGAAAGCAGGCAGTGTTCACCCCAGCCTTTTTGCTTTAGACACATCCCACAAGGTGGGATTCCACAATGTGGCCATCGTTCCCTTCCGCTGCGCTTCTCACCTTTGGAGGTTCTTTGTAGGGTTCACTGTAGAGAGTGCGTATCCTTCTGCGTTCCAGGAATTTGTTATCGGCTGGAGCGGGCTTACTGGTTTCCCCCTTGAACTGAGCGCTGTAACTGGTTTCATGGGTCATTTTCTCCTCTGGTGGCTTGTACTGAGGCTTAGCTTTTATAGCTTTCACAGGCTTGACATCTACCCAAGGTCTGAACTCGTTTCTGAAGAAAAAAAGAAAAAGGGTTGAGGAATTAAACCAACAGGAGAGTAGAGGCAATATAGGAATTAAACTGACCCCCATTACTCAACAAGGTCTTATAAGAAGGGCTTTTGTCTCCATCCAGTCAGATTTACAAAAAAACACCTGACTCCTAACAGCTCATTTTTGACCTCATCCAAAACCCTCTGACGCTTTAGGAAAGATCCAAATGAAATCTGTCTATCGAAATAAATCAGTCAGTCCTGGGCACTAGACAGACTTCTACTTCTATGTCAATGGCCAGGTACCCTTTGAAAAGCCGGCCTCAGATGTCATTATAAAGCATTTCTGAAAGCACAGGTCCTTTCTTGGCTGTACAGCTTCACCTGAAACTACTCACACAAAGTTCCTGATTCTCACAATTAGGGTAGAAGTGGATATTTACATAGAAACATAAAAATGTGTGCTCCACAGTAGGCACCTGATAACTCAACACTGGGCACATGCCTGTCAGCAAACTTATCTGCATGCAAGTGAGCTGGGTGATTCAGAAATGAAAAGAGCCAAGATTTCCTACAGGCACCCCGTACCCATGCCTGTAAGTAGTGAATTGTACTGTTCCTCCTTTATTGCATCAAATTATGCACAACAGCTTTGTTAATTCTGCAAAGGAACAACTTAAAATAAAGCTGTCTTAGATTTAAACCCAAGCAGACTGGGAAATGCAGTGTTCATCAAGCATCAAGCTATAATCTTTCTTTATTAGCTGCTGATGGTGAATTTCAGAGTTACTGAAAAAAATGACAGTCTCTTTTTTTTTTCTTTTGTCTAGAGCAGTGACTTCTTGAAAAAGATATATTTTAAAGATTTTTGGCACCTAATGGACACATTCTGCTTCCCATCCATAGAATCCAAGTCTTGATTTTTTTAGTTCCTCCCAACAGAGCACCAACATCTTTCTAGATTTGAAACAAAACGTTCCATTTCCTCACTGAAAATTGCCATTCATCTGAGAAAAACCTCTATTTGATGAGAAGGGAAATGGAGAAACCCCAAAGGTGTTGCTACAAGTTGTCTTGTTCCTAAAGACTCTGACATAAGCCAAGGAGTTATCCTAACGGAGGTGATGCAAGACCTTTGCAAAGGGATGAATCTTCCCCAGAAAACAAAGTCCTTGTCTGGATTTTGGGAACTGGGAGGCAGTGAGAGGTCTGCAGTCCCTGTCCCTCCTGCCTCTTTCCAATCAACCACTTTGAAGTTGCGTTACTCATTTTCAGTCCGGTTTATTTGGGAAAAGAGCCTTGTGTGAGGGTGTATCTGCCAAGCAATTCCCTCCTGTAACAGCTTTGAATATCTTGATCAGCATTAACCAGATTTGACAAAGGGCAAAGATCTCAAAGATACTCACTTTTTACTTTTATGAAAACAGACAATCAAACAAAAGCCAGAGGCTCAGAGAAGCTTCAGTTTGGGCATGTACACTTCATTAGTCACCAGATGATCCACTTTGGCAGACCAGGCTGCAGAAGTTCAGCTGTTGTCCCCAGAGATCAATAATAAATGACATCCTTCATGGGCAAGATCAGAGGGTCTCCCTGCCCATCTAGTACCAAATTTTGCCCACCTACTAGTCCCACTATAAGTGATGGAAAAATCTGCTCTTTTGAGGTAACTGCTGGTTGCAACAGTCTCCTGGGTGTGTTTCTGCTCCCAAGACACCTATATTCAGGTCTCACTTTTTCTGCCATGTGACTATGCTCTTCTCACAGTCAGTGAAGACCTAGTCAACATGGTCAGTGGAGCCTGGAGAGCAGGTGACTGCTTTACGGTGTGGTGAATGGCTCTTTGGGCTCTGTTGACTGACTAGATCTCCACTAAAGGGAATATAGTCCACATGAAGACACTCATACATACACATCTACATGGAGGTATCTCAGTCTGTGAGCTGAATCCTACCTCCATCTCTTTGTCCTTCCTTAGTGCTGATTCCAGCTACATCAACTTTTTCTTTTCCTGATATTTCTTCATTTCCCTCCCTCTCGTTTACGACTCAGCCCTTCTGGGGCTTGAATAAATCTGCCAAGGACCCAGGGATACTGGCTGTTTGAAGGGTGCTATTCTTCACAAACTGTGTTGCACTGAATGGTCAATACATGAACAGGCTCATCTGTGTCCCCTTGATTGCTATTCACCAAATGTCACCCATTCTTCCGTAGAAATTTCTCTGCTGTCCATTGTTAAAATATCCCCTCTGCATGAAGAGCTGAGAGAAAGGAATTGGAAATATCTTTGAAGAACTGGATTAAAGATGCAAATATATGCTTTTTTTCACTAGACCATACTACTGATAAGCTCAAAGCTCATCCCAAGTTTGTCAGAAGACAAGTTCTTTCTAGGAGCCAGTTTTGTTCCATAACTAGACCCTGTATTTTCAACTGCTTTCCAAAGGAAACAAGATTATGCAATTATGCTCTCTATCCCTGCCTATCTGTCACTTAGATCCCTCCCCTAGTAACCTTCGAACCCATTAGCCGTTTTCAGTCAGATTTGTTGCAGGTAGGACTTCCAACACATTCCCTCAGAATCAGTGAGTGGGTAGAGGAGGAACATTCCCTCTTCTTCAGCTTAAGGAAAGCCAGGTACAATGCATTTTTTTAATCGCTCTAAGGCCACAGCCAGCTGGCCCACCAGTCACGTTGCTGACAGGCCAACCAGCAGACCAGAGTGAAGCTATAAGCACAAGCCATCAAACAGAGCAGCCAAAAAGAGACAAAGGATGAAGCCTGGAGTACTGTGTGTATAGGAGCTGGATTTTAAAGGTGTAGGACACAAATCAAGATTTGTTCATTCCACCGCACATAAAATGCTTGTTTATATGGAGGTGAGCTTTGCAGCAGAGCGACTGTATTTGTTAGCATAGTGCCTAGCAAACTCATTATGTGCTGCATTATGCAAACGTGCAGCAAGAGACGGGCTGCTCCCTGAAAAGCTTGTGATCTCTGTGGACGAGACAGACACAAGAGGAAGAAAAAAAGGAGAAAAAACAGCCCCCTGTCACCTGTGGGCTGGCAGAAAACGCATTTCTGCACTCCCCTCAACAGCGGTGGACATTCAGAACCCCCTTGTGCTGGTCCCCGAACTGTGAATGGAAAAGATCATACAATAGAGCTGGGCTCTAATACCTGTCAGCACAACAACAAATCTTATCTGACAGTTAAAAATGAGCATGAATTCCTCTGCTGTTCTCCATCTTCCATGTGCTTTGCCGGTCTTAATGCAGAAGTAACAATTCTGCAAGTACTCAGCTCTGTTGTACTTTGCAAAAGGACCCTTCACTTCCCTGAGTCTCCTGAGATGAGCCTGGCTCTGCAGATGAAGAAGAGACTGGTAACCGCTC